TTATCATGGAGGTCTCAAACTCATCTCAACTCTTTATCATGGAGGTCTCAAACTCATCTCAACTCTTTATCATGGAGGTCTCAAACTCATCTCAACTCTTTATCATGGAGGTCTCAAACTCATCTCAACTCTTTATCATGGAGGTCTCAAACTCATCTCAACTCTTTATCATGGAGGTCTCAAACTCATCTCAACTCTTTATCATGGAGGTCTCAAACTCATCTCAACTTTATCATGGAGGTCTCAACTCTTCTCAACTTTATCATGGAGGTCTCAACTCCTCAACTTTATCAAGGAGGTCTCAACTCTTTATCATGGAGGTCTCAACTCTTTATCATGGAGGTCTCAAACTCATCTCAACTCTTTATCATGGAGGTCTCAAACTCATCTCAACTCTTTATCATGGAGGTCTCAAACTCATCCCAACTTTATCATGGAGGTCGCAAACCAGTCTCAATTCTATCATGGAGGTCTCAAACGCTTCTCAGAATTTTCATGGAGGTCTCAAACCAGTCTCAACTTTAACATGGAGGTTTCTACTCTTCCCAACTCTATCATGGAGGTCTCAAATGCTTCTCAACTTTATAACGCTTCTCAACTTTATCATGGAGGTCTCAAACGCTTCTCAACTTTATCATGGAGGTCTCAAACGCTTCTCAACTTTATCATGGAGGTCTCAAATGCTTCTCAACTTTATCTTGGAGGTCTCAAACCAGTCTCAACTCTTAACTTTATCATGGAGGTCTAAATCTGTTTTTTGTATTCCACTACATTAAATCAGAGGTTTCTACTAAAGTGGACACAAAGTGGGCCAAGACAGGGTCTAAAATATAATTTTTGTAAGTTGTTCACATATAAATAAACTGATTTGTAAAAACTGATTGCTCATAGAAGGCCATTTAACTGAAACTCAGTGAAACTGAAAATTTACTTATTTTTTTGCAATTTTMATCTCCAGGGGTTTAATGAGATGCTAACAGAATGCTTCACTAGTCCTTAAAAGTCCAAATATCAATTTTCTGCCTTGTAAATTCATCTTSCATCTCATTTTTGTCCCTGCAGATTAAGGCATGCCACTACCTGCCCTGCTTCGTGACGTCGAAGAACGAGTGCCTGTGGACRGACATGCTGTCCCACTTCGGCTATCCTGGCTACCAGTCCCGGCACTACGCCTGCATCCAGCAGAAGGAGGGCTACTGCAGCTGGTACCGAGGCATGACCGCCCGCGATAAGACCACCATCAACACCACTGACCCCTGATTCCAAAACCTAAAACCCACGCCCCCACAGTTCCGTCCTCCCTGTCTCTGTCCCATCCTTGATCACTTTTAGAGCATTACAGAACTCTTTAAAAAGGTCACTGACTTTGAAAATCTCCTTTTAAGAGTAACAAAATAAGAAATATTATCCAGTGCCTGTCTGTAGCACTTCTGATTTAAAGAAAACAGCTTTTTGTTGAACAGATTGCCCTTTAACACCAGTGATCCACCACTTTACAATCAGCAACACAAGTCAAACTTTATGGTCCGTTTCTTTAAAACAGRATTCAGACAGAATTAAGTAGGAGACTGTAACTGACCTCTAATGGGATCTTTAGTAATTATTATCTAATGCTACTGCTATTGAAAGATAATTTAACTGTTATAATTAACACATTTAAGTGATGCAAACCAATGCTCAGCAACACTGCCAATCATCTCGTGAACAAAGATTTTTGTGCCAATCTGTCAGGTATGATTTGTGAATTGTACCTTTTTATATTATATATTTGGTTTCTAAAAACTTAACCCACTATGTTCCGACTTCTTACTGTAAGGTGTCTTTATTGAATGTTTTTAGTGTGACTTCACCCCCACCCCATCCAGGACTTGTGCACTGATTATTATCAGAGAAATGTTCAAAAGCAACACAGTGCCAATGCAGAGATAAGCTCATTTCTTTGCAGATGTTGATATTTAATTTGTATTTTGCTGTATATAACATAAGCTACAGAAATGAACTACCAACTCTGCTCAAATCTCTACTTATTTATGTTTATTGAAATACACAGAAACTATGTGATTATATGTGCATAAAAGGAAAAAAAGTGTATATATGATATAGACCAATCAACAAAGAGTATTAAATAATCCAAACAAGTATCTGTTAGTGAAATAGTATGGTACTTTTTAGCGTTTTATTATAGTTCCCCTGGTTGGTACTATTCAAACAACCCAACAATGATAGCTCAGTATAAACGGACATTTCTGGTATTTAAGTGTATATTTAATCCTTTGTATTTAACAATTTTTAAATGGACATTACATACAAGTAAAAGTAACAGTTTCCCCCTAGATTCATGGCTTCCCATTYACAGTTTATTTCCTGTCATCGTTGGCTTCCCTTCAGTTCATTCCATTACTCGACGCAGAACGGCCTCAAAGAGCGAAACAGCCTCTGCTTTCACTTCAACAACAAAAAACTCACCTCTTAAATAACAAAAACTCACCTGTGAAAAGTTACAGGAAGCTCAACTCTAGAGCTCAGAATGAAGCTAAAGTTAGCATTGTTAGCTTAGATGACATTTTGTGGTTCTTGTTAGTGGTGATGAAACTTTTGGTAAAAATACGTGATATAGCCTGCTTCTAAATACCTTGTATTTAACATGTACTTAGTAGTACACCTGGTATTCTACCAAAGCAACCCAGTAAGTATCTGGTAGGATATTAGATATTCTACTTAGTATTCTACCAAATATAAACCTATTAATTACCTGGTAGGATAGCAGGTATTCTACCAAATTCAAACTCAGTAAGTATCTGATAAGATGGTAGGTATTTGACCAAGTACAAACCTAGTCAGTACCAGTTAGGATTCTAGATATTCTATCAAGTACAAATCCAGTAAGTACCTGGTATGGTACTAGATGATATACCAAGTACAAACCCAATAAATATTGGGTAAGGTACTAGGTATTCTACCAAGTACAAACTTAGTCATTACCAGCTAGGATAGGACCAAGTACAAACACAGTATGTACCTGGTATGATACTAGATATTCTACCAAATACGAACCAAGTACGTACCTGGTAGGATACTAGGTATTCTACCAAGTACAAACCTAGTCAGTGCCTGCTAGAATATTAGGTATTCTACCAAGTACAAACAGTATGTACCTGGTAGGATAGTAGGTATTCTACCAAGTACACACCTTGTCAGTACCAGCTAGAATACTAGGTATTCTACCAAGTACAAACCCAATAAGTATTAGGTGAATACCAAGTAATTTACCAGGTATACTACCCTGTACAGAGTATCTAGTTAATGCATGATGCATCCTGGTCCTTGTGTGTACTTGTTAAGTATGGAGTATGTACAGGGAAGTACCAGGCTGTAGCATGTATTTATACCAAGTGTTTTGTCAGTTACTAGTTTAATGTCAATCATCGACCTGAATTTTACATTTTCTGCACATTTTAACTCAGTTGTTTCCATTTCCAAATTTAAGAAGAAAAGATGAAAGAAATCTCGTTTTTATCAGTGAACAAAAGGTTTTACTTCCATTTGTGGCCTTTCTGTGTCGTTACTTCTGTGGTTTATGTTTGTGTAAATATACTGTTTCCTTAACATATAAAAACTGTTTAGTTTTGATCTAAAAAATACAATCAGGGAAGCTGTGTACAGTCTGTGTGTAAACACTGAGTCCTGATTTGTGAGGGTAGGGAGTCTTTCTTCGTTGGGGTAGAGAAATGTTTGACTTTATTTCTGTGTTTTATATTTTTGTAATAAAGACTTAATGAAAAACGAACCAAACTTTTCTTTCTGTCTGTTGTTTGAATGAAGAGTTGTGTGAAACACTCACCATCTGTGCGTGGCTGGGGTAGAAGGTCTGTTCGTTCAGGGGGAACTTCTCAGGACCGAGGGAGCGGTACAACTTAATCATCTGAGAAAACTGCAAAGAGAAATAAAGGAGGAAGGCAGGTTGTTTTAGGAGAAAGTGTGAGGTTAGACAGAAGCTACATTAGTTTGAAACATAGCTCTTTCTTTTTGGAAACAAATAAAGATCAACTGGAGCTGGAACCAGATTATTGTTCGAAACAAGACAATACTGGATCTTTATCAACTTTGGTAACTTCCAAAGAGCTTTAACCAATCTGTGCCAAGTAGGCATTGGTGTGATGGTACYATGACACCGTAATTGCACTAAACTAAGCAGTTTGGGTCTGGAAATTCATCTTACATATTTAGTTTATAACAAATAAAGTCCTTACTTTCAAGTACTTTAGACCAAACAAGTCCAGAAAATAGTGCATCATCATAAAACATGGTGCAAAAGTACTTGTTCATAGCACATAATGGTCTAGTCGAGGACATTTAAAACTCCAAACTACAAGTGATGAAACTATAAATCCAAACATCTACATGCCTTTCACTACAGTTTTATAGCTGTTTTTGGAGCATGGTTACTAATAAAGTCTGGTAATGAGAGGCTTTTGCTCCCGGAACAGGTGTTCTGGCTCTATTTAACGGCCCGAATAAATCAGTCAGAGGCAGCTGCCAAAGGGAGGGACTCAAAGCACCTTTGTTGGGGTTAAAGTAGAGCAAAGGGGAGCTGTTAAAGACCACGTACCACCCAAGGTTTGCTGCAGAAGTTGTAGATGGAAAAGAGGGAGTTGACGCTAGAGACGCCACCAAAGTGCAGGCCGATCACGAGGTTCCTGAAGTCCTCACCTGGTATCATGCTGTAAGCGTGTTGGCGGATCAAGACAAAGTCTGGCTTAAAGGACCTGCAGGAGGACACGGAGACGGGACAGTGTCAAAGATGGTTTGGTATGACATAGCAAGTTTTAATAAATGAAGAGTAGAATGTCAGGAGTGTCGTCAGGGAGTTGAAGTCAACCCACTGCTGTTATGCCTCAGAGTCTTTTGTAATATATTACATCTGTAATCATCATGAGTTACGTTGCGTTTCCTATATCTGTTAAAAACCCTGCTCCTCAGCCCCTGAACTGACTGTATTCAGGTCCAACACATCCAGAAGCTCACAACTCTGTCAGCACATTAGCATAAATGTTAGCAGTCAGGTGCTCCATCAGTGACTGTGTAAGGATGAAGGGGTGAGGAAAACACCTCAATCCAATTAATACAGTCTAATCCTTCCTTTACAACTGTTCTGGGACTGATGCCAAGTGACCCGTTGAGCACCTGCAGGAGTCCTTTTAACAATTCAGTTTTATAAGTTACAGTTTCTTCAACCGAAAACTGTTTTCAGTTTTTATTCTGGTCGGGTGTAGCCTCTCGTTGACTTTATCTTAACGCTAGATTCATTTGCAGGCTGAATACACTGTACAGCATCCATTTAGGGATTAATACTGTGTTCTTCAGGGGCACTGGGTGTTAAAATACCATTCACCTCCCTGTCTCTYGTCCTGCTTTCTTCTGTGCAACATACAGTAATATAAGGTCATTTATGACTAAGAGACTAATTGGTGCCTAAAATAGAAAGACAGTCAAATTTTCATAAAATTTTTTGCATTAGTGCAACATCTGCAACAAAGACTAGTTGGGGACATCTGCAACAAAATTGAGACAGGTTTGAGACACCTGTAACAAAATGAAGATGGGTTTGAGACACCTGTAACAAAATTGAGATGAGTTTGGAACACCTGCAACAAAACCGAGACGAGTTTGGGACACCTGTAAGAAAACAGACAGATTTGAGACACCTGCATCAAAATTAAGTCAGATTTGAGACACCTGCATCAAAATTAAGTCAGATTTGAGACACCTGCATCAAAATTAAGACAGATTTGAGACAACTGCAACAAAATTAAGACAGGTTTGAGACACTGTAACAAAATGAAGATGGGTTTGAGACACCTGTAACAAAATTGAGATGAGTTTGGGACACCTGCAACAAAACCGAGACGAGTTTGGGACACCTGTAAGAAAACAGACAGATTTGAGACACCTGCAACAAAATTAAGTCCGATTTGAGACACCTGCAACAAAATTAAGACAGCTTTGAGACACCTGCAACAAAATGAAGACGGGTTTGAGACACCTGTAACAAAATTGAGACGAGTTTGGGACACCTGCAACAAAACAGACGAGTTTGGGACACCTGTAACAAAACAGACAGATTTGAGACACCTGCAACAAAATTAAGATGGGTTTGGGACACCTGCAACAAAACAGACTAGTTTGAGACACCTGTAACAAAATTAAGATGGGTTTGAGACACCTGTAAMAAAATTAAGACGGGTTTGAGACACCTGTAACAAAACGGAGACGAGTTTGAGACAACTGTAACAAAACTGAGACAGATTTGAGACACCTGCAACAAAATTAAGATGGGTTTGGGACACCTGCAACAAAACAGACTAGTTTGAGACACCTGTAACAAAACTAAGTCAGATTAGAGACACCTGCAACAAAATGAAGATGGCTTTAAGACACCTGTAACAAAACTGAGACAAGTTTGGGACACCTGCAACAAAAACAGACTAGTTTGAGACACCTGTAACAAAATTAAGACTGGTTTGAGACACTGTAACAAAACTGAGATGAGTTTGGGACAACTGTAACAAAACTGAGACAGGTTTGAGACACCTGTAACAAAATTAAGACTGGTTTGAGACACCTATAACAAAATTAAGACTGGTTTGAGACACCTGTAACAAAATTGAGACGAGTTTGGGACAACTGTAACAAAACTGAGACAGGTTTGAGACACCTGCAACAAAATTAAGGTGGGTTTGGGACACCTGCAACAAAACAGACTAGTTTGAGACACCCGTAACAAAACTAAGTCAGATTAGAGATACCTGCAACAAAATTCAGACAGGTTTGAGACACCTGCAACTAAATGAAGACGGGTTTGAGACACCTGTAACAAAATTGAGAAGAGTTTGGGACACTTGCAACAAAAGCAGTTTTGAGACGAGTTAAGACACCTGCAAGAAAACTGAGACAGGTCTTAGACAAGTCTAAGATGTCCACAATCATTATGAAATTATTGAGAGCAACCTTTTTCACTTTTTGAACATGCATAAAATTCACGCAACAAAACCCTCACTCTGCGACTCACATGTGGAAACTGAAAACATTTTTTGTTGGTTTGATTTTGTTGAGTCTTTCAAACAGCAGCTGAAGACATAGATAAGGACCTGGCTGTATTTTGTGTTTTCTTTGTTATTATGTATTTTTTATATTCAATTCTGGTATTTTTATGTTCTTGTACTATTTTTTTGTTCAAGCCCTTTGTGGCTTTTTATTCTGATAAATTATTTGCAATTACCTTCAAAGATTTGTTTTAAAAAAGGTTAAAGTTCCAGTAGATATAATTGTTGCTATTTTCTTATGATTACTTAACCAACATGACATTTTTCTGAGCCATTATAACTATTATACAATACATAATAAAACAGTGCCAAGAGATGTATTCATCAGCATTCCTTGAGCAAAAACCTATTCATGCCTGGGACAATATGCTGCCATTTGGTCTCCAGATCCATTTATCAAACAAAATCTCTGACCTTCTAAGAGGCTCCACAGAAATACCTGATTTGTGGGAAATCTCATGTTTGGCTCAGAAGCTGGTGAGGGTCTTATCTCCCTCCATCAGTCTGTCTCTCATTGATAAGACTAATTGTGGTAAAACTCAGTGGGAATGCCATAAATGTCAAAAACTACATAACAAGAACTGGCCCCGTGCTAAAGCACAATGGCCCATTGTGTCGTGCTGGTTCTCCGTTGTCACACAGAAATGCACCTTGGAGGGAAAACTCTTTATTTTCCTGTTTACAAAGACAGAAACTAGAACATTTTTTATCACATAACTCTTTATGTAGAACATGTGACGCTTGCCTGTTTGGTTCAAAGTCAAATTTTCTTCCTAATTTCATCACCTCGGTTTGTTTGTTATCATTTAGAAAATCCATCCCTTATCTTTACACGCTTCTTCCTTTCTGGGTCATGGTAACTGGTAACTTTTAAAAGTCAATTTGTTGACACAGCCTGAGCTTTCKCTTGTAGTTTATACATTACAGATGTTTTAGCTGCTTCTAACGACGCTGACTGGCAGTCACACAGGAGGCAGATGTAATGAGGAGAGGAGTTGAAAGAGGGACAGAGTTTTAAATGACCTCTGGCAGAAAGGTAAATGAGTTGTAAAGAGTTTTAATAAATCAGAAGGCTCACTCATATTCAAGGATTTATTACGAAAGCAGAGGTGGTGGGTTGGACTTGGTGGCTGATGTAGGTTTTCATTTCTCCTCGAGGAAAGCCCAACYTAACTCAGCGTGTTTCCAAGTGGGATTTATTTGCTCAGTAACCAGATGAACCTGTCTGAGGGATCAGGTGTCGCTGCAGGCCGACGCCTCCTTTCCCCGTTAGGACGGACTTAAACGTGGAGGGGAGGTGAACGTGTGTGGCCTGATGAGAACTGCCTCAGTGTGGGAAACGATCACCTGAGGTAAGAAAAGCAGGGGTTTTGTGGAGGCTGAGGCCTTTTGGTCTTGTCTTGCTAAAGATGGTAGCTTTAAAAAAAATGTTTAAATGTAACTGACCCATTGGAAGATATTTATCCCCACTAATTAATCCCTGGTTATGTTTTTTTTTTTTTTTTTAGCCCAGGAGGAGCTGAGAGGTTAAAGCTGCTCTGTGGCTTCTCAGACTCTGGCTTCTGYCCTGTGTTGTTCAGCCAGATCAGCATTCCCGCTCCGAGACCAGCAGAACTTTGGGTTTTGGCAGCAGAGAGCCGAGGAGTCAAAGGGTTGAACTGCAGGAGTTCAGCCAAAAAAGCAAGCACAGCCGCAGCTACCGTTCCGTTGTGGCGTGTCGCTCTGTTGTCGGCGCGCGCCACGTTGCACCGAACTGTACTGCACAGCTATCGAGTCAAGATTCTGGACGGGCTGCTMCCTTAACCAAATCAAGATGGCCGCTAATCAACCGCAGCAATCATAAAAATGGCTATAACTCATCTTTACGGGACAYTAAAACTTCTAAAATGCTGAGGAAACAGACAAACACAAGCAGTAGTTTGATGTGTGAGCTGTGAGAAAATCAGCAGGGGTCAAAGGTCATCATGTAAAAAAGCTGTCGTATCTGGTGAAAATGGACAAAATCAGTGATCCCTGTGGATTAAGTTGAGTTATAACTTGAAAACACAGCTATGGTACACAACATATCCCTATTTCAATTTACGGCAATTTCACTTATGTTTTTTTTTCTTTTTTTCTTTTCATTTCCTATTGCAAAAAGAAACAAAAACTTATTTCTCCGTTCTCCTCACTCTCACATGTTCCTTTTGTTTACTTTAGTTTGGTTATTTWAAAAAAATAACTTCGGGTTGACCTTTGTTTATCTCACACTCACAACTGTGTTGTGTTAATTGTATTGTACACAGAAAAGGTCTGTCTGTATCCCTTGCCTGCCCAAATAAAGAATAAAATATGTAACTCATCATATCGAAATGAGGATTAATTCAAATTTGGTCAAAATGACCTAATCATATTTTCTGATTCCTGCTTTAAAAGCTACATTTTGATACCTGAATTATTCTGATATCATAAAAGGAACCAGAGATATGACTTGATTTGTCTTGTTGGTTATGATAATACATTTATATTTGGTACGAATCCTAATTTTATGTCATTTTAATGAGGAATGTATATTAATACGTAATACATATATTATATGTAATATTCAAATAGTATTTGAATATCAACATTTCCCAGCTGGAAAGGAACAAACACTTTGCTAACTCACAGGGAGTATCTCAAAATTTAAAGGCGTTTTTCCACAAAATCAGATTTTTTGTTGCTACTGCTCAAAAAAGTGCTTTAAAACATTTTTAATGATTATATTTCAGACAGTTCATTTAAATGAAACATTGATAAGGATTTATTTGTTATATTTTTACAAAATACAATCTTTGTAAGTGTTTTAATTAGGGCTGTGAAATTAATCGAGTTAACTCATTGATTAATTTTAGTGCTGGGCATAGATTAAAATTTACACTCACTTTACTCTGGCTGAATGTGTAGGTTTGTATATTGCAATGCACTCAGTGCATGACAGGTCATGTTTGTAAATGTGAAGTGGTTCTCAAACAGTTTACCTGGATAAATAAAGGTTAAATAAATAAAATAAACTCCATGTGTAACACATTATGTACAGTTTTTTTTTCTTTTTGTCTTCTTTTATTTTATTTATTTATGTTTTGCTGACCACTTGTGACCTTAGTATCCATCTTTCATTCCTCATGTACTCATTTGGAATGGAAATCCTTAAATTCTTGATTTAACCTCATTATTCTGCACAAAATTTCACCGACTTAAATATGTTTGGAGCATTTTTAGGTCCTGATTTATATTCAAAAAAATCACATCTAAGCATCAGTTTTGTTTCCAAAATAAAAACATTAAAAACTAATKAATAACTCAAGTAATTTATTTATCAATATACAATAGAAATGTACAGTATATTAAATTTAAGATTAATCGTGATTAATTCATAGCTACTTTGGGATTAATCAGATTAAAAATATTTATCATTTGACAGCATTAGTTTTAAACGAAACACTATATTTGCCTATTTCTCCATATCCCACTTTTAGACTTAATCCTTGTTTTGATGTGATGAGTCACATATAAAAAGAAAAAAAAGCTGTGTTGTGGAGAGGAAGGAGTCTGGTTTGGAAACATCAGGGTTTTCGTCTCATTTTATGCAGATGATGTGGTTCTGTTGGTGTCTGTGGGCCAAGACCTTCGACGTGTACTGGATCGGTCCACAGCTGGGATGAGAGTCAGCTCTAAGCCAGAGGACGTGGTTCTTCACCGTGAACAGGTCCAGTTTGGGTCTSTGGGCCTTTTGCTCTTGAGTGATGGAGCAGGAGACAAAATGCTCCGTAAACGTGTGCGACCCTCGCAGATCTACCAGGAGAAGAAYTCCATCACTCAGGGCGTGTTTGGGAAGCTGAAGTTTAGACATTCCTCTGGCGCAGAATGAAACATGATTTATGAAATGAGCAGGTTCTGAAAAACTTTGCTCAGTTTTCAGCCAGCTCTTTTTCTCCTGGCAGCTCCCTGGGCGTCCTGCTGTACGAGGAAACCACTAAAAMCATTATTAGTCATGATCCGGTGGGACCGGCTGCTTCAAACACCTATTATTCTATTTGCAGGAAAGCTCAGAGTCAGAAASGATGAGCCCAACGTTCTGGCAGAGAGCGCCGGGTGTTTGTGAGCGAGGCAGCAGTCGCACCATCTGCATCCAATTTGGCCTCTCTGTGATTACTGMGACATCACCGAAAATATTCAGCCCACACTACGACGCAGTCAGCGTCTGCAGAGACAACAGGTTGTRTTGTAGCGTCGGCTGCATCAGGACTGGGGGTCGGCTTCTTTCCTGTAACTGAGCGGCTTTGGGGACAAAATCCAACGCAAACAAATTATTTCTCAAGAAGGCTATTATTTGAGGTGTGTGTGTTTGTTTGGGGCGGGTGTGTGTGTACAGTTTACTGACACAYACTGGGTTTCTTTCCTGTAAAACAGTAGCTCAGATCTGTTGTGGGTTATGAACAAGTATCATCTTACCTGCTGTAGGTAGAGCTTTAAATCATCAGTTTGGATTTTATTTCTAAAAATATTGAGCTAACGGCTCGTCCCAAAGAGGCCATTACAGAGTTCTTTTGTGTTCTCATTGCTGAAATCCCAGTAAGCCCTTTAAYTTGGAGTCTGGACTCACCTGACTACCTTGGTGCCTCCTTTGTTGACCTGCATGTCMACCATACAGCCCGAGCTGACGTAGGAGGCCAGGTTGATCTCAGAGAACTCAGCCTGGTGAAACAAAATACTTGTTAAGAATTTGTTTACAACAAACACACAGTTTATGATGTGTTATTAGGGCCAAGATTATTACTATTTCTAACCCAGCGGTGCCTATGTCCTAATAGCAAGAGGGTATATTCATTCTAAAGCCAGCTACTGATATGATTACCAATAGGCCTGTGCTGTCAAATGAAAAGGAGACTACTTATATGGGTTAGCACTGGAGAGGCTAGAGAGCTAGAATGCCTACGATGGATAAACTGGAGGTAGCATGAGATAGGCTGGTTTTAGCATGGGATAGGCTGGCGTTAGCATAGGGTAGGCTGGCATTAGCATGGGATAGGCTAATGTTACCATGGGATAGGCTAGTTTTAACATGGGATAGGCTGGCGTTAGCATAGGATAGGCTGGCATTAGCATGGGATAGGCTAATGTTACCATGGGATAGGCTAGTTTTAACATGGGATAGGCTGGCGTTAGCATAGGATAGGCTGGCATTAGCATGGGACAGGCTAACGTTACAATGGTATGGGCTGGTTTTAATATGCGATAGGCTAATGTTACCATGGGATAGGCCGGTTTTAGCATGGGATAGGCCGTTTTAGCATGGGATAGGCCAGTTTTAGCATGGGATAGGCCGGTTTTAGCATGGGATAGGCCGCTTTTAGTATGGGATAGGCTGCTTTTAGTATGGGATAGGCTGC